TAGTGATTCCCCACCCTCTATTCCAGCCAGGAGGACTTCGCAGAACGCCAGGGATGTAGATCGAACAACCTACTTCGAATTTCTACTTAGAGGTTTAGGAGGCATTTCAAACAACGCAGCTGAGAGAAAAATCTTGATGTTTTCCATGTTCCCCGCCACTCTCCCTAAACTGCTCCTACTCAGTCTTCTTTATCTCCGTAAATGGGACCGCCATCAGCCAGATGCTCCAGGCAGAATCTATTGCCCTTCTTCCTTCCTTCCTCCTCCTTTCTCATCACAACCAATCCATGAGCACGGCTCTCTAACACCGCCTCCCAAGCATACCCTGGCTGTCCCACCACCCTCACAACTCCGATTGTCACCTTGCTCCAGGCACCACCATGCCGTCATCTCGGGGCTCCTGCAAGAGTGTTCTAAAGGTTCCCTTGCTTCCCCTTCACAGAGTGGCAGGGGTCTCTTTCAGACATCCATGCGATCGCAGCACTCCCTGCTTCAAACCTTCCGGTGGGTTTCAACCACACAGGCCCCAAATCTAAACGGTTTCATCTGATCATGCAGTTTGACGTGACTTGGCACCATCCTCCTCCCTCTCATCCCATGCCACTTTCATGTCACTCACCAACCCCCAACCCACTCTCCATACCTAAGACACCCATTGTTAATTAGCTCTAACTTCTATTATCTTCTGCGCGCTCCTAGATCACTGGTTCTCAACCTGGGGGTCGCGACCCCTTTGGGGGGGGGGTCAAACGACCCTTTCACAGGGGTTGCCTAAGACCATTTCCTATGGTTTTAGGAACCGAGACACCACTTCTCTATCCGTCTCCAGATGGGTCCACCCACATGCAGATAGCCCACATACGGGGTCATACCAACATGAGGAACTGTATTAAAGGGTCGTGGTAATAGGAAGGTTGAGCACCGCTGTCCTGGATGGAGGTCCGTCGTGGTTGGGGTTTTTGTTATGATTTTCTTTATATGAAATGCATGATAGGTAATCCACTGAGACAGTCACTAGATGGAGAGTTCCTTAGGCTTATTAAGGCAGGGGAAACTTGGGGGGACATGGGGACCTAACGATAATAGGTACACAAATGAAGAAAATATTCTAAAATTGATTGTGGTGATGGCTGCACACTCTTTAATAGCTTGAAACTGTTGAATCGTATGGTACATAAATTATATACCATTAAAACTGTAAAAAAAAAAAAGAGAGAGCGAGCTAATTGGGCATTATCCCCTGGCACCCAAACTAAAGAGTTGAGTGATGGCCACCTCTCTTGGAAAGGACATTAATAGCGACTTATCATGGAAAACTGCCTGGAAAAATTAAATCCAGCTTGATTTTTCAAATGGCAAAAGCCCACACCCAAACCACCCCATTGATTACCACCCTAGAGCCCTGTCCCCGCACACTCCTCTTCTCTGATCACGTTAACGGGCTCATCCTGGACGTTACTATCGCTACTGATTCAGCTCCAGGAGAGCAACTTCCGGCATCCTCCTGGTTTACACTTTATGTATGTATGTAATTATTTATTCATTCATTTTTTGGTTGGGATCTGCAAATTTCTAGAACATAGAAAATGCTCAGTAAATCTTTTTTATTGATAAATGAGTACGTGGAATTGAAAACATTGCTGTTGTGATTCCCAGTTGTCAACTACCATTATCATTATGAATAATAAATGAACAGAAGCACTGAAAGTCAACATTTGTTATGTGATTGCTATATGCCAGGCACTATTCTAAATACACACATTGCAGTGAGTCCTCCAGCAACCCTAGGAGACAGTAACTATTATTATCTCCAGTTTATATGTGAGGAAACTGGAGGACGAAAGGTTATGTGAAGTCAGGATTCAAACCAGGTAGACTAATGTCAGAGCCTCCATAACTTAACTAATTAATATTGTTATCATTATAATTAGTAATGTCAGTAATGATAAGCAGCATTAATTGAGCATCTATTATATGCTAGGCAATTGGGCTTTTTACTTAGGTGAATTTAATCCTCACAACAGCCTTCTGGGTAGGTGTGATCTTCATTTTATGATGTAGAAATAGGGTCAAAGGTGTTAAATTGCTGCCCAAAATCATGTAGTGAATGAATCACACAGCCAGGATGCCAACTCAGACAGGAGTCCCAATTTATGTACAAGTTCCAAAAAAATAAAAAGAACTTTTCCCTACCATCCAAAACCCAGGGAGTAGGGATTCTTGTGGGTTCTGGGAAAATTTTCCTGATTTGCGATTTCCTCAACTCTTGGTCTTATAGAGCACTTGATGTGTGCTGGTAAGAACCCTGGCGCATAGTCGGCTAGTCAGCTACCCAGTTCAAACCCAGCTACCCAGTTCAAACCCACGAGCTGCTCTGCTGGAGAAAGACGAGGCGGTTTGCAGGGACTTCCAGTCTCAGAAACTCCAGGGTAGTTCTCTCTGGTCCCCGAGGGTCTCGATGAGTTGGCATTGACTGAATGGTCGTAATCTGGTTTTGGAATGCGTGCTGGTATGGGGCTGTGTATGGGAGGGCTACATACTTCCCAGCCTGCTTTTAGGCTTTTCTGCTTAGTCCATGCTCACCTGTGAAGAAACTTCTCGTATGTCTGGCGGAAGGCAAACCCTGCCCGACGCACCCTCACATTTTCCAGGAGGCCAAGGTATTCCACTTGATGCCGGCAGCGCTCATCATCAAATATCTGTGGGGATTTCTTGTCGTTGGGTTTGATGCAGCGTACGTAATAAGGTTCCTAAAGAAAGAAACCCCGCAATGACATGTTGTGCTGGAGGAACAGCTCGGACCCTGTCACTACACCCTCATTAGTGCCGGCAGTCTCAGATTAAGCTCCGTGCCTCTAAGGTTTCAAGCATGCGGATAAAGTAGTTGGTTATACTTATGGGGCAAGGTATTTACTTTTCCTTTCTTCCCCAGTTTAAGGATAGAAGTTCTCAGATGGAAAGGCTGAGAAATAATATGTCTGTCAGAGATGACCAAGTATCACTTGGCGAGAACACTGAATGCAAATTGCTCCAACAAAGAAAACATGTCCATAAAGGAAACTGGGCAACTTCTAAGGTCTGTAATAGGAGCCCTGGTGGCACAGTGGTTTGTTTGTGTGTTGGGCTGTTAACCGCAATGTCGGCAGTTTGACAAGCACCCATGGCTCCACGGGAGAAAGACAGCTTTCTACTCTTGAACAGAGTTACAGTCTCAGAAACCCACAAGGGCATTCCTACCCTTTCCTACAGGGTCACTGTGAGTTGGAATTGACTTGGTTTTTGGTTTTGGCAATCACAGACCATCCTTCTACCAGATGAGATTAAGCTAGAAATCAAGATTAAAAAGAGATAATCACGTGGAGGGAGGGTGGGGTGGAAAGGGGGAACCGATTACAAGGATCTACATATAACCTTCTCCCTGGGGGATGGACAACAGAAAAGCAGGTGAAGGGAGATGTTGGACAGTGAAAGATATGACAAAATAATAGTAAATTTTAAATTATCAAGGGTTCATGAGGGAGAGGGAAGTGGGGAGGGAGGGGGGAAAATGAGGAGCTGGTTCCACGGGCTTACGTGGAGAGCAAATGTTCTGAGAATGATGATGGCAACAAATGTACAAATGTGCTTGACACAATGGATGTATGTATGGATTCTGACAAGAGTTGTATGAGCCCCTAATAAAATGATTAAAAAAAGAGAGAGATAATCAGAAAATCCCTATATGGTGGGAAATTACGAAATACAAAGTAGCCTAAAAATGTTCACGAAAAATATTCCATTTTCCCACAAACTTTGTGAAGCGTATACTTCTAAACGATCTTTGGGCCACATAGAAAATTACAGCGGACATCAGAGAAGGCTTTCCAACTCGGTAACTTATAAGCCATGTCAGCAAAGCTAGCTTGGTGTGAGGCATCATGTGAGTATTACTGTAAGTAATTTTACCAGTAGAGTGGAATTTTACCAGTATTTACTGATTTTGCACAGGAAATGATAATCCAGGATTAGACACTAAGGCTTAGCAGGTGGTGGTGGTGGTGATGAGGGCTTTCATCCTGTTTAGGAATATACAAATCTTCAGATAGGGAATCTAGTGAAAACACGTTCTCTATATTTAATCACTGTTCTCTCTCAACTTTTAAATGCCGCCTCTTCTTCTTATGAATACGCAGACTGACTCAACCTAAGAAATCCTAAATTTGACAAATCCCGAGTGTTTTACAAGGTTAAACTACAAAAGCTCATAGTGATCTTATTCTCAGGTGCAGTTTCACCTTAAGAGGCCCTGGGAGCAGAGTGGGTGACTGGGGGGCTAGGAGCGTGGAAGTTAGGCACTAGGATAGCAGAGCCTGCAATCTGCACGGTAGGTGGTTCAAAACTACGAGCAGAAAGACTGGGCTTTCTACTCCGGTGAACAGTGACAGTCTTGAACTCCCACTGGGGAGTCACACTGAGTCGGCCCTGACTCAGTGGCAGGGAGTTTTGAGGGTAGCAGACCAAAAGGGCAGAAGGAACGAGGGCCCATGATAACTTTGGAGCTGCTCTGCTGAAATGAGAGCCTTCTTCTGTCCGACTTTTATCGCACAGACCAACGAACTGCTCCCTCTGGTTTCAGCCACTCATTTGGGGTGGGTGTTTCGTTTATTAGAAAGGAGCCCTGGCGGTGCTGTGGGTTAGATGGTTGGGTGGCTAAAGGTGAGGTCTATGGTTCGAACCCACCAACTGCTCCTCAGGAGGAAGATGAGGTTGCCTGCTCCCCAAAGAATAGTCTCAGTGAGCCTATGTAAGGCCACTATGATTTGGAATTGACTTAATGGCGATTTTTTTTTATTAGCAGCTGAATGTAATTCCTGATACAAAAACTATAGAAAGCTATAGGCTTTTAAGAGACACGTTTCAGTTTTTGATACTAAGTTGATTGCTTTTCCTGCTAATTAAGTTTAATGAATTTTATAAATTTGTTTTGTAAAGTTCTGCATTCGCCTCTGTTTCGTGTACCTCCTGCCTTCCTTCTGGGGCACCTCTTCTTCTTTTGTGAAGCAGACAGATGCTGAGATGAAAGCGTGTCTAAGGGTGTTCTTTCTACCCAATGGTTCTTGTGTCCTTTCCCCTTCTCTCTCTCTCTCTCTCTCTCTTAGGCTCAAGACACAAGCTAACAAAGTCTGCTTATCCCAAGTCATCTGAGGCCAAGGAACCCTCACTAAAAGAATAGACATGTTTTTGTGCTAGCTGCTAATTTATGCACAGTGAAGAAACCAGAAATATAGTATAGATTTAAATTCTTAGAGAGGAAGCTGATTAAAAAAAAAAGACACTAATAAAGAAGAAAACACACAGGAAATGCATCAGAAGAGAAAGATAAAAATGAAGGAACTAAAAATAACGAGGCCAGAATGCTGCCTAATTTATCAAACTTGTCAGCGGTGGCAGTTAAGAGTAGAAATCGGTTCTTTCAGAGGAGGAGCACTGAGCTAAGTTATCGCACAGAGTATTTGTCCCCAGAGGAGCAATAAACACCAGAGAGAATTGTCAATAATGTGCCTTTATATTCCCACTATTTAGGACAGCTCCAAGACAGTGTTTAAGTACTAAACTTCCTCTTGAAACTCCCCCTGCCTTTGTTCAGTTCTTACTCAAATACAACATAGGGATGGCCCATCAGTGCTCAACTGGGTGCCCTTCTTTTTGACGGGTCTTGTCTTCAGCACAGAGATATTACACACATGTACGTGTACAGGAGGTACACATGGTTGAGTACTTGGCTCCGGACCCACAGGGTGGTGATTCAAAGCCACCCAGAAGCCCCCTGGAAGAAAGGTCTTCATCTACTTCTAAACGGCATTGAAAACGCACAGAATGCAGTTCTACTCCAAAACACTTGAGTTGCCATGAGTTTGAACTGACTGATGACAACTGGTTCGATTTCTTCGTTTTGTTTCTCTTGTGTGTGTTTTAGGTCTTACTAAGACAACTGTCCATTTGACCAAGGTGGTAGACCAGGACGCCTACACTGAAGAAGCTTATTCATCTGGAACACAACTGTTTCACCCAGCCAAGTGAAGAAGAAGAAAATGCCAGGAATAAAAATTCTATCATAATATTCACTTTAAATACTATATTCTTTATGCAAATAACCTGTGGGTTATACTTTTTATTGCCCTCCCCGCAAGATATGATCATAAGCAACACATAAAAAAATTTAACATAGTATGTTAATGAAAATACCTTGGGGAGAGGGCTCAGTTGGCAAAAAAAAAGTAGCCATTTAAAATTTTGCCTAAAATATGTCTATTTGCCTAAAAATATGTGTTTCTTCTTCAGTGAGATTAAATGTCATTATTACCTAAAATCAAATGATACACATGCTCTCTAAAACATGGTATCAAGAGAGATTGTGAACTACGATAGTTACTGGTAAGAGAAAACAATTACCTTTGATGCAATGTTGTCGACTAAAGCGATCATAGAATTTTTAAACAAGGTGGCAGCAGTCGGTGGTCGCTTGGTCACCTCTGTGATGCTCAATTTGCCTTCTGGCCACATGTTCTTCAGCACGGGATTTGAACTGAGAATCACAGAAAGAGAAATTCAAATAGTGTCAGGTTCAAAAAGGACAAGAATGACAATGCAATCCTGGGACTCACCCTGGATTGTGGTTCCAGGTTACAATCTCAAAACTGAGCGCTCCTGGGACTCACCCTGGATTG